AATAAAAATGGAGATAAATTACATCCCGATAATGAAGACGTGTCAATTTTCGTCACACCAACTTTTCGTTCCAACTCGTCTTCACCATCATCGTCGTCGTCGTCGTTGTTTTTGGTTGTGCAATCTCATGGATTCGAACATTGATATTATCGTCAATCGCAATTGATTTTTGCACCAGACAGGTGGTGCTTTAGCAGCGACATGAAATTCAAGTAAAATTCGATTGATTCATCAAGTCGCAAATAAAATGGGATACGCTTGCGAACAAAATTGGCCGCTCATTTTCGATGCATTAATCGTAATCTAATTGGTAGGTTATTGACTTCTGCCCGTGTGTTTGCTGGTGCAAATTGTCCAAAAATTCACAAGTTTATGTTTTTAATTTTTGTCTGAAACGGCGTCACACATCTTCAAACTTATTCGAGTTTTGCAAGTGGCTGCAATGCCTGTGATTAATTTTATGTCAGTGCCGCAGTTATTTTCGCCCACACTCACGCACTCATTTGATTTGGAATTCCAATGGAAATTCTCCACAGTCTGCCTATTCAATGTTTTCTCTCTGCTGCGCCCGATGAATTCATATTGAAGATTTAATTGAAATTTTTTCCGTCTCTCTCACACTAATGAAAATCAAGACAGCAAACAATTTCCACGCGTTTCGAATATAGATTATTTCATCAATCTGAGCGCTGTTGAAGTGTATGAGTGCGTGCGCGAGCAAGAACTCTCCAGCTTTAATGTGTATTAAGACACAGAAGTGTATTACAAAAATGTTTGCCGCTTTGCGCTTATGTAATTGAAATGAATCTGAAGATGCGCACCATTGCTCTATTTCACCAAACGAAATTTCAAATAAAACATTGTTGTACAGCATCAGATCCACTCATTCTCTCTCTGTGGATATGTCTTTTTCTCTCACTGCATCATTCTGGTTCTTACTGTGTCTCACTCTTTCACTTTATTCCATACTCGTTGAACGAGCGATGATTCGTTAGTTGATTTCAAAATGAGCAGCGCGGAGAAAGGCAAGAAATTATACGAAAACATCTACACTGCGTATTTCCAAAGTCATTTTCGGATTTCGTCTGTACCACAGAGCCTGGGCTGGGTTGTGAGTGAGTGTTTCGCAAAGATTTGCGCATTTGATTGTTTTTTGGTGAATTTTTCATGGTTGTGTTTATGCAGTTGTTCTAATCAACAAAAGAATACGTTTCTTCAATTAGTCAAGTTGCGGATGGGTTTGTTGTCTATGTCTGCGAATGTGTGTTTGTGTGTGCGCGCACGGATTTCAGGTTTGGTTCTCGTCTCGCCAAGAGACAGGACGCATAGCGAAAATGTAATGATGAAAAGTGCTTTCGGCACACAAATGACTTCGTCAAACATTTAGAGTCCGAGATGTCAGTTCATATTGGCATTTCATACAATACAATCCTGAATAAGCCCGCACAAATACACACATGAGACTGATTTTGTAGCGCACACCGGAGAGATATAGCATGGATTCATCGTAAATGTTCACCAACTCATTTTCAGCAGCACTGAAACGATATTAGTGGAATTTACTATTCTTTCTCTATGTAGTATATATACGTATACGCGTTAGCATCGAAACAACCATAGCCCATACAGCCAACTATTAAACGCAATAATGTGCACATCTCTCAAACGAAATGCTCACGTTTCTTATTTATATACATAAAAAGCGAACGGATTTCGGTCTCGGGATAGAATAAGTCGTGTGTTGAGACATTATGAAAAAAATCCGTTAGCCATAGCTAGCTGAGGTTCCAGTAAATAAAATGACGAATCTCATTCGCTTGCTTTCGCTTCGAAATGATGTACAAAAACACTCACACATACACACACAAGGGATGAGCAATGAAAATGGATATAAGGAAAAGAAAGATAAAAATCCGAGCACGGCCTTCGCCAAATCAAACCGTTTCAACCAGAGTGTAGACGTTCATTTTGCTTCATTGTGTGTTGCCGTTTTATTGTTGTGTCGTTTCATTGCGTTGATTGAGCTTTTGAGTACCGCTCCGAACTCTGAAGCAGTCGCACTTTTTCCTTTATGTCTCGGTTTGTTGAAGCCATTGCTGCTGCGGCTGCTTTCTTTTCATTTCACTTCATTTTATCGCTTCTCTCGGGCGCGCTTCTTCACTCACTTTTATTATGTATTATTCTGGATACGTGAATCGTTTACAGATTTTTTTTCCCTTCTGTCTTTCTCTGTCTTTCTTACTTTACCATAGCTACTCACTCATGATGGCCGAGTGCTGGCTGCTCCGTTCGCTTCCACTGTACAAACACAGAAAATGTAATCAGAACAGCTCGTATTCATGTGTATACTTTGAAGAGATGTTCGTGCTGCGATTTGACTTTTGACTCTCTCTTTCTCTCTCGCTTGCTCTCACTCACTCACAATGCTATTTATTTGTGCAAAAATAAAATTGTCTGTTTATTGTATGTAAACAGGGAAAATCTTCATTCTTTCGAACGGAATTTTTTTTTATTTTGCAATTGTTTTATTTTTAAGTCCATTTTTTACATAAATCTATTCTAAAAAAATTTCCACTTGAAAATTCTGTTTCAATTTTTATTTTGATGAATTCATTTGAATTCGCATCATTTGCTTAAATTTCAAGCTTTAAATCATGAGATTGTTGTTGTTTGCCGTCTTTCATTTCGTTTAAATGATGAGTTTTATGGCATCGAAGAGATTTTTGATGGGCATTCGTGACAGATCATTTGTGCGTTTCCAAAATTATTCCCCAGACCAATTTTTTTTTTGCTCGTCCACATTTGTTTGTTTATTTCCAGTGGAAATAAAATAAGGTCATAAAACAAGGAAATAAATTGGCATTCGGTCGCATCCAACCAAAATATGAATATATTATGAAATCCACGAAGAGCATTTATGGAAATGGCACTTTTGCCCATTGTTCTCAACATTTTCGGCTCCCTCGATAAATCGTCGCGTAAATTATTATGCGTACAGTACGTAAATGGTTCCCTCTTGCGTCACTAATATTTGCACCTGGATAATTGCTGGCATCAAACACATTATTTCGATCAGGAAAATTCCCGTTCTATTCATTTTGGGTCATATGTCGATTTACTATTTGCGAATCGCACCTGAATCCGGTTCTCGTGTTCTGGAAAGCATCACCAAGATGGAAATACGTTGTTCCCTCCTCGATTTTTCCCTTTTTGAATGTGTCTCACACATGTGAAAACTGTTGAACGAAAAAAAAAACCACTATAATTTTGTCAAAAGCCACAAAATTCTTTCGATTAAACTTTTCGAATGCCACTCGCTCGCTGGAGTGCCGTAAAAGCAATTTCCAAACCAAAACTGACTCCATTTGCTTTCGTTTCGAATTCACTGTGGGCCGCTTTGTATCCATATCTCGTTCGATTTTTTGTCATATATTTTTTTCTTGCAACAAAAAACCAATTTTTATCGATGGGACTTTTCTCGGGAATTGTAGTCGTTTTCAGGTTGATATCGTTTAGTTAAATGTTTGTCCCGGTGTTGATACATGTTTGCGCACATCTGATGAAAGGTGAAAAAAAAACCGAATTCACATTGGAAATCACCATCATATCTGGCACAGTCCACCGTGTTCGATAAAACCGCCATCGAATGCAACATATTATTACGAGCTTCTCTTCATCTTTTTTCGGGGCAATTGGTCGCAAAATAAAATTGATATTATGTATATCAATTGCAATAACTGTAAAAGGTTTTTATGTCCGCACACACACACACACACACACACACACACACAAAACGCTGAACACCACATATATTTACCCACTGCATTTGACGGTGAAATTGAATGAAAAATCATTCGGCGAAAAAGGTTTTGCCAGCCAAAAATTTGTTCCGTGTTTGTGTCGAACTTTCGAATTCCCAAAGCGATTGCGTTGGATTGGCAATAGGGTATTCACATCCATGTGATAAGCGGATTCGAGCTCTCACATTTCACACGTATGGAGACCGATTACAGTGGCAATCGACGATTGCTTTTACAGCGCATCGATTTACCGTTTATTTCCATTTGCCAAACGCGACATTTCATTTTGACGATGGCCGTTCCTTTTTTTCGGTTGTTGTTTTGGCATCATGCAAATTCCGTGATACGCCGATTCGGAAAAGAGCATGTTCGCTGTTTTGAAGCACATAAAACTTGATTAAAAATTGGAATGCTTACGAATGGAAAGAGATAAAGATTCAAAATAAATATGAGCAAAAACATCGGTTAATCGGGCAATCTTCAAATTTCTTTACGAAAATTGATGATTGCTTTCGATTGAACGATGAGAGGCTCTTCAGAAAATTGAACGATTCAACTTCACTTTCAAGGTTTTCAGTTGAAACGAATTGATCACACAATTGCTTGAATAAAAAAAAAAAATTGTAAAAAATTCATTTTCATTGTTTCAAAGTTGCAATTGAGTATACCTAGATGAAAACAGTGTAAAAGAATGATTTTTGCATATCCAATGTGTAATCAATGGATTTGTTTATCATTTTATACCAGAAGGTGACTCAACAAAGCTACTCACATTACTCATTCCCTGAAAAAGCCATCGATTGATTTGAGTCGATCTAATTACGGTATCGTAATCAAATTGCAATTTAAGTAATGAAATCCACTGAACATCTTATCGATCAATCGACAAATTGAAAGCGTCGAATGAAAAATGAAAAATCAACACAGTATGAGTGTTATGTGGTTGGTAATTGATGTTTGGCGTGTTTAAGGATATGATTAATTGATAGGTGATGACATATTTTTACGGTATATTGACATCTTGATTGATAGTGCATGATGTACAAAACAAAAAAAAAAGCATTTGGCTCGTCCCTCTTTTATTCATCAACGAAGAAACCCAGACAAGGAAATAATTAATGTAACAAAATACCCGTCAAGAATCCGTCAAACGGCGCCGCATCTCTGTTTAACCAATTTAAATAATGTCAATCGAGTTAATTTCTTTCAAAATGTTTATTTCTTCTTTAGCTAATCAAATAAAAGTGTGAACATTTACAATGCAGTAATTTGTATCCAATTTACAGCTTGAATCGAATCTGTTGTGCCAAGACTTAAATTTAGAAGACAAATAACCGAAAACAATTTGATTTGAACGTGGGTGAGAAATGTACAGACAGACATTTATATGAACTTTATCGAATATCTACACAAAAGAATTGGTTGCAAGAAGTGTTTTTGGTAACAGTTAAAAATTAATTTTGTATATAGAAATTAGTGTTGAAGAAATGAAATTTTTAGAGCCTAAAATAGGATTATGCTAACATTTTACACACATTTGTTGCTTAAAAATTTGATCTAATTATTATAGACGCACTGATTTTGACAATTTTGACCTGTCGCTTGGTGCCGTTTTGCGAAGCATTTCACATGCAAACATTTTTCTTTCAGACATTTCTGAACATATTTCGTGGAAATGTGTTCTGACCAGCTTCTTTGGATAGAAACAGCTAAATATTCCATTCAGCACCACAATTTTCCTACGGGATACTCTTAATCATATGTACAATTTGATACAGAAACATTTCTGTTAGAAATCAACAAATTAGAAAAAAAAGAAACAAAAACGGTGAAATTTAAATAAAATTAACTAAAGTATGTCATTTGATTCAATAGAAAAAAAATTATTAAATCAAGTAGCAAAAGCAATATAAACGAAAATTAACGGAAGAAATAAAAAAAAATAAATCGAACACCATTTGAACATTAAATGTTTTTGCGAGACGTTGAAAAGTGCTAAAATCGAAAATATAAGTACGCTTACGATTTCTAGGGTTTGGCTAATAATAATTAATAGTAAGTAGCCCAATTGTAGCTGGGTGCAACTTATGCTTTGGAGAATCTGTGTTTAAATTTAAGTTCAATGTTGATAGGCTTATCGTCTAACACTATTCTAAATGTTGCTCATGATAGATCATTTTATTATAATATTTACGTTAAATATTCAACTGCACATTTACTTAGGAATCAAATCGGAAAATTGCACAATATTCTATTGATTGATTTGATAAACAGAAAAAAAGATCATCATCTTTTCATAAACTAACTGCGAATCGTGTTCAACTCGATTTTCACTGGAGAGTGTTCAGTGAACACTGTTCACCGTATCATTTCAACTGGTATTTAATGAATGAGCGGTCCAATTTCGGCGTGTTGAGTCTCTTTGTGACGCCTTAGATCGACTTTCCGCTGGAATGCCTTGTGGCAGAGTTCACAGGCGAATGGTTTGTAGCCGGTGTGCTTTCTCGAATGAGTGATAAGGTTGGAACTTTGACTGAATGCCTTTCCGCATACCGAACATTTGTGTGGTTTCTCTCCTGTAATTCGAGGGGAAAAATAAGAAAGAAAATATAATTAAAATCGTCATAATACAATAAAAGATTTTTGGTATTGTTTTTCGCCTTTTTCGCCAGTATAAATCATGTTCGGTCACCGAAATCAATAGCTGATAATTGCGAGAGATTCCAAATCGGTCGAAAGCAATAAATAAAAATGACAAGTTAAAAATTTTCCAATGAAGATTCCGAAGGCGAGCCGTGTGTGCAAATTTAAATAGCAAAAATAAGGGGCCGTAAATATTTGGCCATTGAAAATCGTCCAATCGCTTTTATTGAATGTGGCAAATATTTTGGCAATGCGACGAAATTAAAGCGGAATGAAACGGCAATAATTCGGCGAAAATTTAATAATGTTCCTCGGACTAAGAGGATCTCTATATATTTGCGTATATATTTTTTTTTCTCTCATTTGCTTGTGTTTTCGCTTTCTCTTTTGTTGTCCCTGCATAAATATTAAATCATATTATTATAAATGAACAGTAGAGCCATTTGTCACCGGGCCAATATAATAGCATTTAGTCACTTAATGATGACGTTTTCCACCCCAAATTTTATTTGTATTTCATTTGTTTGTTGGTAAAGTCGTTTGGCTTTTGTTTGTACCAGTCGTAGTCGTCGTCCATGTCGCATGATATACACATGATTATTATGAAACGAATCTTGATAATACCCATGGCTTGCGATTTAATTTCTCGTTCAACAACTGTTCATCAGCACGAAATTCGGATCGTGCTGGTCCAATGGATGGTTTTGCCTTTGCAGTTTCTGGCTACGAAACAACAACAAAAAAAAACAGGAGAAAAACATCGAAATGGAAATACTTTTCGTGTCTCGGATTCGGATTGTGAGTGTCGCTAGCAAGCACGGTTGCATTTACTGGTGGTGATGGTTGGCATTCACTTGGTATTTATATGAAGCGTGAACAACACGACCCTTCCTCCCGTTGTTCACCATTCACCCATTCAGTCATGTGCTCATAAATTATGACTTGATTCGATTTAGCGCAGCATATTATAGCAGCCATTTAGTTTAATATTTCAAAATTGAAATTTGACCTCGCTCATTCATTCGCCCGAATATGGAACAAGCTCGCCTATCTCAACGCTCTAAAACCGCACTTTAATTGTTTATGGCAATGCTCAACACATAAATCCATAAGTGTAATATTTGATTTGTAATCCAGTGTGTGTTGGTGTCTATTTGCGCCCGCCAGCTATGTGAAAAACGTCTGTTTCAAACGCATTTTTTTTGGTCGTTGTTGTTGAATTTTCACATTCATTCAAAATGATTTATCTAGTCATTTTCCAGTTTAATCTGATCTACTCTAATATTTTGGGGCATTTAATGAAAAATTCATACGAACAACTCGTTTAATTGTTTGATTTTCAATTAGCAATAAAATGAATGCCGAAAAAGTTAGAGCGGAAAAGCCGAAAATCACAATTTTACAGCGAGAAAATAGCAAAGAACGGAATGGTGACGGGGTCGACGACGCCGAAGAGTTTGCCGTACCTCGTTAAACGCTTGATGAATCTAACACCGGATATATTCGGCGCTGTAATTAATTACATGCCGCAAATAAGAGCGGCAGAACGAATTTAATGGCATCAGTCGTGTTTTAATTTGAGTGAGGTTGAATGTACATAAATCCGTTTTTGATTTCCAAATGATTTTCGTACACTTCAAATGAATGCCCATTAATATTTATGTGGCCCGGTTTGGAAGACAATAAAAAGAAGGGATGCGGCTTGATTTTTTGAAATATGAAAATGTGGCGCTCAAAGTCGGTGTCATGTTCAGAACAGTCTTGTTTGTCTGCAGATTTTCGGCATTCATTTGATTTCAAATGTAAATAAATCCGATTGTTCAACTCCATCCCGATGAATTCAAGGCTGAAATCAAGCACCACATTTCATATTTTCATAAAATTTTATTCGATGCAGACTCATAAATTGCGCATTCCTCCAATTCAATGGCTTAATCTGTGTCTGCATGTAAATCGCACGATTTCAAAACCTGTTTAAATTTTTTCCTTCCCCTTCGCCTCGTCTATGTACGTCTCATTTGTAATATTATCCGAATGTTATTGAATTAAAAACCAGAAGCGATGCTAGTGAATAGTGGTGGATGATACAAACATTTGATTGAATGCAAAACCATCTTTAGTGGTCATAGCTCGCACTACCCAATCCGAAAGGGAAATGCGAATGACTGATCCAATTATTTTATTCCACTCTTGCTCACACTCGCAAATCTTCGGAATCAAAACGAATAAAGCGACCAAATCTTGATTGGGTTTTCCATATGAAATGTTGCCATTTGTTCTGGTTGCACGATTTATGTAACACATTTGTTAACCTGACACCTTATTCGTTTATCATCTCTCATTCGAATGCTGTGCGCTTCAATGCAAAATCCCTGGAAGCGAAAATTTGATTTGGTCGCAACTTTAAACCTCGACACTCATCGTGAAACGAGATCGATAAATCGATTTTTTTTCGTGTGTCTGACGAAAAACTAATTATTCGTACGATGAACGTGTTTTAATGACGAAAAAAAAACTGAATCCTTCTCGTCACCCGCGTTTGTCGTCGAGTAGCGTGGAAACAACGCGCAATGTGACATGATGATGTGGAATCGCGTCGCAACAGCAGAATCGTCATCGTCGTTGTCGCTGTCTCGTTGGCTCTCATTCAGCTGAATTATAATCGGAGCGTATAAATTTTTCATTGGTTAGCTGTGATTTTGTGTGCCGCCCCTATATCCATCGTCACCATGGCAACGCAGCGGAATCGCGCTGAATCAGTTTCGGGCTCTTGCTCTTACGCTGGGACATTATTTGCGCTTATCAACACATTTGATGATTGCTCGCACCCAGAGTTTGCATTGTGATTTTCGTTCCCGTTGCGCTTCACTTCCAACGATATGTGCTGGTTGTCACCCAATGCCATCGATTCAATAAATCTGATTGGAGATTGTTATTCAATTTTTCCAGCAACAGCAATGGCAACGACGACGATGACAAAAAACATGACACAATGCTTGGCTATTGTATCCCCTAAGCAAAAAACAAATTCATGACGACACTTTTAACTGTGTGTATGTGTGTGCGTTGCACGCAGAAGCATTTCGATGGGCCGTTGTTCGTGCTGTTGGAGAAGGGAACAAAATCACAAAATGGCCCGAAAAAAGGTGAATATCGATGGAGAATTTGATTTTGAAAATGCTGGATCACAATGCAAATTGTCTGCGAATTGCGTAAATTCGTCGCATTTCAATCGTAATGTGGATGAAAAAAAAAATCCAATGGATTCTGGTTTCGAATCTCTCCAATGGCATAGATCGTCGCATTGCTTTTCTCGGATTTTATTTGGAGCGAATAATTGAATGTGTACTCAGGCGAAATGCAAAGGACGAACACAAATCGACGACGCAAAATTGTCGATTTAATTTGATTCGATGGCGTTGTGTTTCGGCATAGTTCACCGCATTTTGTGCAAATGTGTTGGATGGGGTTGATGATAATTTTCGACCGGAATATATGTCGCTTTACGATGGCACACACAATTTTTCGAGACAAATTGCTACCACTTTCGGATGGCAAATGAAACGTGCAACGTTTCAAAACATCGTTTCAACGGGAAAAATCTTTGCTACGGAATCCATTTTGTGCTGCGCTTGGAATTCCGGGCCCGTTCGTTTCATACCGAAAGAGAGAGAAAGAAACAACACACAGTAGCAGCGTTGGCGGCGGCATCAATCGTCAGCGGTAAACGGAAGGAATTTATATTATTTACATTTTCCCGCAATCCTGTAATGATTGCATCGTATAAAATAGATGAAATCTGCCATAAAAATGAAGATGTGTGCTTTATATAGATATCCTGGTATATATTTTATATCGAGGTTTTGGGTCTCTTGCTCTTTCTATCTTGATCTCACATTCGTTCTCTCGCTTTTGTGCTGCTCTATTTGTTATGGGCTTTGGGTTTGGGTGCTCAAGCAATCAGCGAACGCCACTCTGTGCCATCATAAATGGATACGATGAAAAATATTTTTACATAAACAGCGTGAACGAGGGAGCGCCCGTCGCCAAAGCATGCAAAGACGAAGTGAAAATGTAATGGAAATTTCATTCAATCCATTTGGAATTCGGTGGTGAATGGCGTGCACAGAGAAGCAGAAAAAAAATACACAAATGATGCCGTAATCTCATTCAAAGCGCAAATCTTCAACATTTATTGTGCGCCCGGCTGCCAAAGCCACACAAATAGAGACACAGAGAGAGTTTCCGGGCAATACGAAATTTTATAACGGCCAGAAAAACGAAGCCATAAACTTTATTCACGCTCATAATTCCGCCATTCATTCGCACGCTTCGTTCAAATTTAGCCCGAAATATTAAAACGAAAAATGCAAAATGAAAAAAAAAACTCTGCAAACTGAATTGATTTCATTCGTTTAGGTTTGAGCGTGGCGCGGCGCAATGCAGCAGAAAAAACCAAACGGATGCAAAAATCAAAATAATTTTTGGCCAAAATTCCTTTTGAAGTAATTGCCACAAACGGAACGCGAGAGAAAAAAGTATTTACGTTTGTTCTCTCTGATTGCGCATTCACGTAATTGAATTTGAGCATTTGAAACGAACATCAATTTATCTAAATTCTCTTCAGATTTCGCAACTGATTCTCTTTTTTTGGTTGCTCGGCACTTTTTTTCTCCAGTCGAAGCATTTTCATAACGCGAGTGCAGAGGAACGGGAAAGAGAGAGAAAAAAAGGTGATGGCGTCCAAAAATGGGTTTGCTTTGCTCGAAACTTTAACATGTCTGCGTTTAGTTAGTCAAATGTATCCATTTAATCTGTGAAACGCATACCACCAAAACGCTTTTTCGCCGTTTTCATTTTTATTTATTTACTCAATTTTCGTTACGCTTTTGATTTTTATTATTCTGTCGGGTTTTTGGTGTTTGAGATTTTT